AGTAGGTGGCGGTATATGCACCTAAAGCTGGTTTGCCAACCGCCACAAAAACGTCAAAGAAGAAGAAGCGTGTTGTGAAGGATGGCAGGACCAGCTTCAGTCGCTGGTGATGTGTTTGTTGATGCTCTGCCTTATTTCGACCAGGGTTATGATGCTCCAGGGGTCAGAGGAGCCGTAAGTAGACTGAATGTGTCTTTTTGGACGTTCTGTCTACTTAAAACGTCGATAACTAATAAATATAAGACCTACAGGCTCTATACAGACAGCTAACCGCTGCGTCTTCTTCTGGTTCTTAAATGAAACCGTTTAGTTGTTTATTCATCATATGTTTCTGTTTTGAGTATGCTATAGTGTTACAATTGTCTGTATTAGAGGGAAATGTACGTTTGAATCAATTTCAGGCAGCTGCTTTGGTGGAAGAAGAGACGAGACGATACAGACCAACCAAGAACTATTTGAGCTACCTGCCCACACCAGATTTCTCTGCTTTTGAGGTACGAGGAAAAGACCCTTTCTGCTTCTGGTTTACTATAATGTGGTTCACACTATAATCTTAGTGTTATGTTGCTCTCATTAGACCGAGATCATAAGGAATGAGTTTGAGAGACTGGCTGCTCGTCAACCCATGGAGCTGCTCAGTATGAAGAGGTAAGTTTACTGAGCAAAACTGGTGAACTCTTGTGTCCTGCTGATCTAGAATAGAAAATACATCTATACATAGGAAAATTAAATTGCAGTAAATCTAAATACATCTTTGGGAGGAGCTGCAGTAATAGTTGTAACAGATGCGTGATTAAAATATTATTTGCTTTCACACAATTTTTTTTTACAAAAACATATCAACTTCATTACAAAATACCATGCTATTAGCCAGTTTCCCGTTGAAGTATTACACTTGCATAATTCAGTCCACCTTATTTTGCAATGTTGTAAAGCTGTTTTCTGTGAATGTGCAAGATCTCTGCTTCATTAGCCGCTGTAGGTAAATAATTGGAATATCAAAGTGCAGTCAATGCAATGGTAAAACTCTTTGCGCTACAAACCAGTGTTTATGATTAAAATAATATGATGACAAATACCAGTTTGCAGAGTCAAGCAGCATAGCTGACTATTTTGTACAGGTGCATCTCAATAAATTAGAATGTTGTGGAAAAGTT